GGAGGAGGCGAGCGCCGAGGCCAGTGCGGCGCGCCTGCGCCTGGCCGACTCGATTGACGAGGTGCAGCAGCGGCTGCGCCCACGTGGCCTGTTGGACGAGACACTGGGCGCCCTGCGCCGCGCCGGCGGCCGCGAGCTGCTGGACGAGGCAGTGGCGGCGGCGCGGCGCAATCCGCTGCCGCTGCTGCTGGCCGGCGCCGGCCTGGCCTGGTTCGCCTACGAACTGGCGCACGGCGCGCCGGCGCGGCCTGCGCCCGGCGAGAAGCGCCGCGCGGCCGAGGCTGAGGATGACGAGGTGCACGACGACCTGGACGACGTTCTGAAGGAGGACCCGCGATGAGCGAGCGCGCGCGAACCCCACGGCGCAGGCCCGCCGCCTCGGCCTCCGGCCGGGCGCGGGAGCTGTTCGAGACGCATCCGCTGCTGGTCGGCGTGCTGGGCTTCGCCGGCGGCTTCCTGCTCGGCAGCCTGCTGCCGCGTACGCCGCGCGAGGACCGGCTGCTCGGTCCGCTGCGCGACGACCTCAAGGCGACGGGCCTGCGCTACGGCGAGGAGATGACCGCGCAGGCGCGGGCCTATGCCGAGGAGGCGATGCAGCGGCAGGCCGGGCGCCGCGACCCGGACGGCGACGACACCGGTCCGAAGCCGCAAAGCGACGCCGACCGCGCCGCAGGATGAGGCCGCGCCGAGCCGGGATTGCGCGGCCGCGCCGTCAGCCCGGCCGTCGCGCGCGTGTGAGTTGCACGAGCTGCCGCGCCGCCCGGCGTTTCTTGTAGACCGGGTAGGCCACCGAGAGCAGCAGCAGCGCGAAGAAGACCAGCGCGATCGGCCGGGTCAGCAGAAAGCCCGGGTCGCCGCCGCTGAGCTGGTAGGTGCGCAGCGCCTCGCCCTCGGCCATGCCGCCCAGCAGGATGCCGACCACCGCCGCGGCAGTCGGATAGCCGTAGCGGCGCATGAAGAAGCCCAGCACGGCGGCGCCGGCGACGGTGATCGGCCCGACCATCGAGCCGGTCAGGGCGTAGGCCCCCATCACCGCGAGCACGATGACCGAGGGCGCCAGCACGCGCAGCGGCGCCTTGACGATACGCGCGGCCAGAAAGACGAAGGCCAGGCCCAGGCCCAGCAGCAGCACCGACTGGCCCAGGTTGGCGAAGATGATGGCGTAGACGATGTCCTTGTTCTCGGCGACGAAGCGCGGGCCGCCGGTGACGTCGTGGATGTTGAAGGCGGCCAGCATCACCGCCGTCGCCGCGCCGCCCGGTAGGCCGAGCACCAGCAGCGTCGCCATGGAGCCGCCCTCGGAGCTGCTGTTGGCCGCCTCGGCGGCGCTCACCCCGCGCAGGTCGCCCTTGCCGAAGGCTTCCGGGTCGCGCGCGCGCCGCCGCGTCTCGGCGTAGGACAGCAGGTTGGCGACCGAGGAGCCGACGCCGGGCACGGCGCCGACGCCGACGCCGATCAGCGCGCCGCGCAGCAGGATGACGGGGCCGGCGACGGCCGCGCCGATGCCCGCCAGGATCTCCGACAGCCGCACTTCGCGCAGCCGGGCGTCGGCGACGATGAAGGAGCGCTGGGCCAGGGAGAAGAGCTCGGACAGCGCGAACAGCCCCATCAGCGCCGGCACCGCCGGCACGCCGTCGAGCAGGTAGATCGAGTCGAAGGTGCCGCGGATGAAGCCGCGCGAGGACATGCCGATGGTGCCGATCAGCATGCCGACCAGCCCGGCCAGCAGGCCCTTGGCGAAGGCCTGCTCCGACAGCGCGGCGATCAAGGTCAGGCCCCAGAGCGCGACCACCAGCATCTCCGGCGGGCCGAGCCGCAGGACCCAGCCGGCGATCGGGTCGATCAGCACGAAGAGCAGCAGGTAGCCGATGGCGGCGCCGATGGTCGAGGCGGCGAGCGCCGCGCCCAGCGCGGTGTTGTGCCGTCCCGCGCGCGCCAGGGGGTAGCCGTCGAAGGTGGTGGCCACCGCCGCCGAGGTGCCGGGGATGTTCATCAGGATCGCCGGCACCGCGCCGCCGAAGCCGCCGCCGGTGAAGATCGCCGTGAGGAACAGGATCGCCGGCACGAAGTCCATGTAGAAGGTGACCGGCATGAACACGGCCATGGCGATCGGCACCGAAAGCCCCGGCACCGCGCCGAAGACCAGGCCGATCAGCAGGCCGGGGACGACCACGCCCCAGGCCTGCCACGAGCCGGCGAGCAGACCGAGGGCGTCGAGCGCAGCAGCGAAATCGATCACGAGGAAGGTCCCGCTAGGGTTCGAGGGGCAGCAGGGTCGGGAAGGGGATCGACAGCATGGTCTGGAAGCCGACCACCACGAACAGCCCGAAGGCCAGGCTGTAGAGCCCGACGAAGGCCCAGCGCCGCTCGCCATTCAGCACCATGGCGGCGGCCAGGTAGACCACGGTGATCAGGTCGAAGGGCAGGTAGACCAGGGCCGCGACATAGAGGCAGGTCAGGCCCATCAGGGCGAAGGCACGGCGATCGCGCCGTCGCGCCGCCCCCGCTTCCGCGGCTGCTTCCTCGGCCGCCGCCTCGGCTGTCGGGGCGCCGCCCTCCGCGGCCGGCGTGTCCTGGGCCGCCGCAGGGAAGCCGGGGTCCGGCCGGCGGCGCAGGAGCTGCACTACGATGACGCCGTAGAGCAGCAGGCAGAGCGCCGAGACCGGCAGGATCAGGATCAGGTTCTCGGCCGAGGTCGAGGTGGTCCAGGCGTCGAGGAAGTACCAGGCGACGAAGACCAGAAGGAGGGTCGCGAAGGCCAGCTCGCCAAGCAGGCGCGAGGGCCCGCCGTCCGCGGCGTTCGAGACCGTTTTCGCTTGTGCCATCGCGACCGCTCCTGCCGTCTCGTCGTCAGGTCCGCCGGGGCTGCGCGGAGCCTAGGGGGGGCTGTCCCTACCGGATCATGTCCCTATTGGATCATGTCCCTATTGGATCATGTCCTTGTAGGTGCGCAGCGCCTCGAAGTTCTCGGTGAGGAAGGCTTCGCTCGCCTCCGGCCCCATCCAGTCGCCGCCGATGTCGGAGCGCTTCAGCCAGCGCTGGAAGCCCTCGGACTCCAGGGCCGCCTTGTAGCCCTCCAGAAAGGCCTTGTGACGCTCGGGATAGTCCGCGTCGAAGGAGTCGTGGGCGATCACCGCGATGGTGTTGCCGGCGAGCAGCGGCACCTCGGGCTCGCCGAGCTCGCCGAGGGCGGCGTTCAGGCCGGGGGCTTCGTAGTCGTCGGTGCCGCCGTCCTTGCGCAGCACGGCCAGGGTGTTGATCTGGTCCTTGATGCCCAGCGAGCCCTCGGCGGCCACCACCGTGAAGTCGACCTGGCTGCCGACCACCGCCATGCGCTGCGGGCTGCCGCCGTCGAAGGTGACCCAGCGCACGTTGTCGCGCGGGATGTCCAGGCTGTCGAGCAGGATGAGCGCCTGCAGATGCGCGCCGGAGCCGTGCACGATGCTGGCGCTGACCTCGCCCGGCTGGGTGCGCATGGCCTCGATCAGCGCGCCCAGGTCCTGGTACTCGCTCTCCGGCGAGACCGCCAGGATCATGTAGTCCGACCACTGGGCGTTGAGGAAGTCGAAGTCGTCCCAGGCAATCGGGGCGCCCTGAATCAGGATGTTGTTGGCCAGGTAGGGCACGGCCTGCATCACCAGGAAGTAGGAGCCGTCGTCCTTCTGCTGGCTGAACCAGGTCGCGCCGAGCGAGCCCGAGCCGCCGGGCTTGTTCACCACCGTGACCACCGCGTCGTTCAGGTGCTCCGGCAGGAAGGAGGCGAGGCCGCGCGCCAGCCGGTCGGCGCTGCCGCCCGGATTGAAGGGCACGACGAGGCGAATCCGGGTGTCCTCGCTCGGCCAGGCCTCGGCGCCGGCGCTCTGCGCGGCGCCCAGGGGCAGCGCCAGGGCGGCCGCGCTCACGGCCAGGGCCTTCAACAGCTTCGATTTCAACATTGGCATCCTCCCGTACTTGGGTCTTTTCGGCTCGCCCGCGAGCGCGGGGCCCGGCTGCCGCCGCCCGGCAACAACCGCTCGCCTAACCCGTTGCATATGTCTTATTGTTATGACATTCAGAGAGCAAGCACAATGATCTTGCAGGGGCTAGACTTCGCTTTTGCGAGCCGCGGGAGTGCAGGAGTGACGGCGTGCTGAAGAAGGACAAGGACGGTGGGCGGCCGGGCGCCGCCGATGCCGCTGTGGCCCCGGCGCCGCGGACGGCCGAGCCGCCGGCGGGCGAGGGCGAGGCCGTCGCGCCCGGGCCCGTGCCGCTCTACCACCAGGTCTATCTGGTGCTGCGCCAGCGCCTGCTCGACCGCACCTATCCGGCCGACCGGCCGCTGCCGGGCGAGATCGACCTGGCCAAGACCTTCCAGGTCTCGCGCATCACCGTGCGGCGGGCGCTGCAGGAACTCGCGCGCGAGGGCCTGATCGTGCGCCACCCCGGCCGCGGCACCTTCCCGGCCGAGGGCGTCGAGCGCCAGGCGACGATCAGCGGCAACCTTACGGGCCTGCTGGAAAATCTCATCCTCATGGGCCTGAAGACCCAGGTGAAGGTGCTGGCGCTGGACTATGTGGCGCCGCCGGTCCCGGCCGCCGGGGCCTTCGCGCCCGACGGGGTGGTGGAGGTGCAGCGCGTCGTGCGCGTGCGCTCCAACGAGGGCATTCCCTTCTCGCAGCTCACGACCTACGTGCCCGCCGAGATCGGCCGCACCTTCACCGCCGAGGATCTGGCCGCCCAGCCGCTGCTGGGCCTGCTCGAGCGCGCCGGCGTGCGGGTCGCTTCGGCCGAGCAGACGATCAGCGCCGTCGCCGCCGACACCGCCGTCGCCGCGGCGCTGCAGGTCGCGCCGGGCACCGCCCTGATCAAGATCCTGCGCCTGGTGCGCGACGAGAACGACCGGCTGGTGGAGTGGCTGGAGGCGCTCTACCGGCCGGACCGCTATAGCTACCGCATGAACCTCCAGCGTTCCGACCACAACGGGATACCGCAATGGACTCCGCAATGACGCCCAACGCTAGACTGCGCCGCCGCATCGCCGCCGCGCCCGACCGCGGCCCGCTGATCGCCCCCGGCGTGTACGACGCCATGGGCGCGGCCGCGGCCGAGGCCGCCGGCTTCGAGGCCGCCTACCTGTCCGGCGCCAGCATCGCCTACAGCCGCCTGGGCGGTCCCGACCTGGGGCTGATCGCCCTGCCCGAGCTGGTCGAGACCGTGGCGCTGATCCGCGAGCGCACCGACCTGCCGCTGGTGGTCGACGCCGACAACGGCTTCGGCAATGCGCTCAACGTGCGCCGCACCCTGCGCCGGCTGGAGCGCGCCGGCGCCAGCGCCGTCCAGCTCGAGGACCAGAGCTTTCCCAAGCGCTGCGGCCACCTGGCCGACAAGAGCCTGATCGAGCCGGCGGAGATGGTCGGCAAGATCCGCGCCGCCGTCGACAGTCGCCAGGACCCGGACCTGACGCTGATCATCCGCACCGACGCCGTCGCCGTGGAGGGCTTCGACGCCGCCATGGCGCGGGCCGAGGCCTACCTGGAGGCCGGCGCCGACGTGCTGTTCGTCGAGGCGCCGCAGGACGAGGCCCAGCTCGCCGCCGTGCCGCGCCGCTTCGCCGGCCGGGTGCCGACCCTGGCCAACATGGTCGAAGGCGGGCGCACGCCGAACCGCACCGCCCAGGCCCTGGGCGAGCTGGGCTTTTCCATCGTCATCTTCCCCGGCGGCCTGGCCCGCGCCGTGGTGCAGACCATGCAGGCCTATTTCGCCAGCCTGCGCCAGCACGGCAGCAACGCCCCCTTCCGCGAGCGCATGCTGGACTTCCAGGGCATCAACGACTTCGTCCGCACGCCCGAGGTGCTGGCCTGGGCCGCGCGCTTCGAGGGGCAGCCGGACGCCGGCGAGGCGCACGCCCCGGAGTCTGACGCCGGGGCCGAGCCAGCGGCGCGGGAGGCGGCGCACGGGGGGCGGCGATGAGCGAGCCTGCCGGACCGCGCAGCCTGTTCGAGAAGGTCTGGGAGCGTCACGTCGTCGAGCGCGACGCCGAGGGCAACGAGCTGCTCTACGTCGACCGCCACCTGGCGCACGAGGGCTCCTTCCACGCCTTCGGCAAGCTGGCCGGGCGCGATCTGCCGGTGGCCCGGCCCGACCTGACGCTGCTGATCGCCGACCACTACGCCCCGACCCGCGGCCGCGACCGGCCGATCGCCGACCCCGAGGTGGCGCGGGTCTCCCGTCTGCTGGAGGAGAACGCGGCGCGCTTCGGCCTCGACCTGATCGGCCTGCAGGACCCGCGCCAGGGCATCGTCCACGTGGTTGGGCCGGAGCTGGGCTTCACCCTGCCGGGCCTGACTATCGTCTGCGGCGACAGCCACACCTCGACCCACGGCGCCTTCGGGGCCGTCGCCTTCGGCATCGGCGCCTCGGAGGTGGCCCACGTGCTGGCGACCCAGTGCCTCTGGCAACGCCGGCCGAAGCCGATGCGCGTGCGCTTCGTCGGGCAGCCGCGGGCCAGCGTCGGGGCCAAGGACCTGGTGCTGGCGATGATCGCTCAGATCGGCGCCGACGGCGGCAGCGGCCACGCGCTGGAGTATGTGGGGTCGGCCGTCGAGCGGCTGTCGATGGCCGGGCGCATGACCCTGTGCAACCTCTCGATCGAAAGCGGCGCGCGCTTCGGCCTGATCGCGCCCGACGCGACCACCTTCGCCTACGTGACCGGCCGGCCGCTGGCGCCGCGCGGGGCGTTGCTGGAGCGGGCGCTGGCCGACTGGCGCGGCCTCGCCAGCGACCCCGACGCGCCCTTCGCCGCGGAGGTGACGGTGGAGGTGGACGGCCTGGGGCCGATGGTGACCTGGGGCACCAGCCCGGAGCAGGCGGCGCCGGTAGCCGGCCGGGTGCCCGATCCGGCAAGCCTGCCGACGGCGGCACGGCGCGAGGCGGCGGCCAAGGCGCTGGCCTATATGGACCTGCAGCCGGGCCAGGCGCTCGACGGCCTGGCCATCGACCGGGTCTTCATCGGCTCCTGCACCAACGCGCGCCTGGAGGATCTGCGCGAGGCCGCGGCGGCGATCGGCGGGCGCCGGGCGCAGGTGCCGGCCCTGGTCTCGCCGGGCTCGCGGGCGGTCAAGCGGGCCGCCGAGCGGGAGGGGCTGGACGCGGTTTTCCGCGCCGCCGGCTTCGAGTGGGCCGATTCCGGCTGCTCCATGTGCGTGGGCATGAACGGCGACCTGGTGCCGCCGGGCGCGCGCTGCGCCTCCACCGCCAACCGCAACTTCCCCGGCCGCCAGGGGCCGGGCAGCCGCACCCACCTGGTCAGCCCGGCGATGGCCGCCCTGGCCGCCGTCGAGGGCTGCCTGCGCAACCCGGAGACGCCGTCATGACCCGCCCGCGCCGCCCCTTCGAGGTGCTGGAGTCGCCGGCCGTCGTGCTGCTGCGCGGCAATGTCGACACCGACCAGATCATCCCGGCCCGCTTCCTGCGCAAGCCGCGCGAGGGCACCGCGGGCTACGCCCCCTATCTCTTCGCCGACCTGGACGACGCCCCGGCGGGCCTGCGTGGCGAAGAGCGCGGCGATGGGTGCGATGGCGAGGAGGCCGGCGGCGAGGCGGCGCCGGAGATCCTGATCGCCGGGCGCAACTTCGGCTGCGGCTCCTCGCGCGAGGGGGCGGTCTATGCCCTGGTCGACGCCGGCTACCGCGCCGTGGTGGCGGAGAGCTTCGGCGACATCTTCCGCGCCAACGCCGCCCGCAACGGCCTGCTCTGCGTGCAGCTCGCGCCGGAGGAGGTGGGCGCGCTGGCGGCGGCGGCGGCCGAGGCGCCGGCCGCGCGGCTGACCGTCGACCTGCCGGCGCAAAGCGTCGCGGCGCCCGGTCTGGCGGCCTATCACTTCGCCATCGACGGCTTCAGCAAGAAGCTGCTGCGCGCCGGCTACGACGAGCTCGACCTGACCCTCTCCCTGGCCGGGGCCATCGCCGACTTCAGCGCTGCCGCCGAGGCGGCGCGTCCCTGGCTGCGGCCCGAGACCACGGGCGAGGCTTGATCGCCGCCGGCCGCGGGGGCAGAAGGGGCGTGCGGGCAGGGTCGACGCCGCCCGCGCGTCGGCGCCAGAGCCGGGTGAGAGGCGATGGGCCCGCTTGCGCGGGTCCGCCGATCCCAGGACATCCGCACGGCGTCATTGGGGTGGCGTGATTTTGGGGCTGGAGTGATTTTGCGCAACCGGCGGCCGCGCCGCAGCGGGCCGGACGGTCGCAGGTCGCTCTCGGCAGGAACGGAGCGCTCGTGGGGCCCTTTTTCGAGGAGCTGGACTACCGGCCGACGCCGATCGGCGCGCTCAGCCTGCGCCGGCGGCGCGAGCTGTCGCTCGATGTCGAGGTCTACGAGATCAAGCTGGGCGAGGCCTTCTTGATGTCCAGCCTCTTCACCGCCTCGGAGGTCGCCCTGGCGCGGCTCGGGCTGGCGGCCCTGACGCCGCGCGGCGGGGCTTGCGACGTGGTCGTCGGCGGACTCGGCCTGGGCTACACGGCGCAGGCCGTGTTGCAGGCGCCGGAGGTCGCCTCCCTGCTGGTGGTCGAGGCGCTGGAGCCGGTGATCGACTGGCACCGCGAAGGGCTGCTGCCGCTGGGCCGGGAGCTCTGCGCCGACCCGCGCTGCCGCTTCGTGGCGGGCGACTTCTTCGCCCTGGCCGCCGGCGCCGAGGGGTTCGATCCCACGGCGCCGGGACGGCGGGTCGACGCCGTGCTGGTCGACATCGACCACACGCCGGATTTCCTGCTGGACACCGGCCACGCCGACTTCTACCGGCCGGCGGGGCTGACCCGGCTGGCCGCCCACCTGCGCCCGGGCGGCGTCTTCGGCCTCTGGTCCAACGCGCCGCCGGAGCCGGCCTTCACGGCGCGGCTGGCCGATGTCTTCGCGACGGCCTGGGCCGAGCCGGTGCGCTTCGCCAATCCACTGCAGGCCGGGCGCGAGGTGACCCAGACGGTCTACCTGGCCCGCACGGCGGCGGAGGCCGCGCCAGGGACCGCCCAAGGCACTGCCCAAGGCACTGCTTAAGGCACTGCCCAAGGCACCGCACCGGGGCGCGCCCGACCGCGATAGCTGAGGCGGCCGCGCGCGGCCGCCTCACGGCGGGCCGGCGGTTGGTCGCGCGGCGGCCAGGTTGAGCTGGGCGAGCAGCAGGTCGACCAGGTCGCGCACCCGGTCCAGCGCCGGCAGCTCGGCCAGCGGCAGAGTGACGCCGAAGCTGTCCTCCAGCTCCAGCAGCAGGTTCATCGCCGCCACGGAGTCCAGGCCGAGCTCGGCGGTCAGCCGGCTGGCCGGTGTGATCTCGCTGCCGGCCGGGGCGTGGCGCCGCAGGGCGGCGAGCACCCGGGCCTCGACCTCAGTCGCTGTCCAGGCCATGCGTCAGGTCCCTTCGTCGCCGGAGGAGTCCGCGAGGCGGCCGCCCAGGTAGGCGGCGCGGGCCGCGCTGCGACTGAGCTTGCCGGAGGAGGTGCGCGGCAGGCTGCGCGGCGGCACCAGCAGGATGCGCGGATCGGCCCCGCAGGCGCCGCGCACCGCCGCGCCCGCCTGTCGGCGCAGCTCGGCGCGCACCGCCGGGTCGCGGCTGCGGCACTGGATCGCCACCACCATGATCTCTTCGCCCCCCGTTTCCTCGTGCTCCGTTTCCTCGTGCCCCGTTTCCTCGTCCCCGGCTACCTCGTTCCCCGTCTCTTCCCGCGCCGTCGCTTCCCGCTCCGTCCCCTTCTCCCCGGCCTCAGGGCCTCCGGCTGCCGCGACCGGCGGCGCGGCGGTGGCGGAAAAACAGGCGACGTCGCCGGCGCGCAGGCCGGCCAGCGTCTCCACGGCGCTCTCGATGTCCTCCGGCCAGATGTTCTGCCCGTGCAGGATCACCAGATCCTTCGCGCGCCCGGTCACCACCAGCCGACCCTGGGTCAGATAGCCCAGGTCGCCGCTGTCGAGCCAGCCCGCGCGGTCGGTCAGCGCCAGGGGCGCCTGCGGGCCGGCGAGCGCCGCGCTGGCCACGCTGGGCCCGCGCAGCCAGATGCGGCCGACCCGGCGCTCCGGCAGCGGTTGGCCGGCCTCGTCGCGGATCACAACCTCCACCTCCGGCAGGGGCGCGCCGCAGATCGCCAGGCGTCGGCCGTCCGCGCCGCTGCACGGCCGGGCCTCGCCGCGCTGCGCCAGCGGTTGCCGCGCCACGCGCTCGCTCTCCAGCCCGCGTCCGGGCGTCGCGAAGCTGACCGCCAGGGTCGCCTCCGACAGGCCGTAGCTGGGCAGAAAGGCCCGGGGCGAAAAGCCGGCCGGCGCGAAGGCCGCGGCGAAGCGCTCGAGCACCGCGGGACGGATCATCTCGCCGCCGACGCCGGCAATGCGCCAGCGCGAGAGGTCCAGTCGCGCCACCGCCTCCGGCGTGGCGCGGCGGCTGCACAGGGCGTAGCCGAAGGTCGGGCTGTAGGCGATGCTGGCGCCCTGGACCGAGAGCAGCTCCAGCCAGACCAGCGGGCGCAGGGCGAAGGCCTGCGGCGTCAGGTAGTCGACGCCGATCTGGCAGAGCAGCGGCGTCAGGCAGAAGCCGACCAGCCCCATGTCGTGGAACAGCGGCAGCCAGGAGCAGGCGCGGTCGTCGCCGCGCAGCCCCAGGCCGTCGCGGGCGATCGCGCGGGCGTTGGCGGTGACCGCGCGCTGGCTGACCAGCACGCCGCGCGGCCTCCGCGTGCTGCCGGAGGAGAACTGGATGTAGGCCGGCGCGTCGGGGCCCAGCGGGCGCAGGTCGCCGCCGTCGGCCGGCAGGTCGAGGAGCTCGGCCGGCGTGGCGACGCGGTCCAGGTCCAGGCCCTCGGCCGCCGCCCGCAGGTAGGGTTGCAGGTCCGGCGAGCCGACCGCTAGGCGGCAGCCGGCGGCCGCGATCAGCGCCTGGAGCCGCGCCACGTAGGCGGCGCGCCCACCCAGGTGCAGCGCGACCGGAAGCGGCACGGGGATCAGGCCGGCGTACTGGCAGGCGAAGAAGACGACGGGAAAGTCGGGCCCGGTCTCGCCGAGCAGCGCGACGCGGCTGCCCGGCGCCGGCCCCGCTCGCACCAAGCGCCGCGCCAGGGCCTGGGCCTGCGCGCGCAGCTCGCAGTAGGACAGCCTGCTCTGCACGGCGCCGCGGGCGGAGAAGAAGGTGAAGCCGCTCGCGCCGCGCGCAGCGTAGTCCAGGCCCGCCGCCAGGCTGTCGAAGCCGGCCAAACGCTGGGGCAGACGGGCGGAGCCAGAGGGGAGGGGCAGGGGACGGAGGGGCAGGGGACGGAGGGGCAGGGGACGGAGGGGCATGGCGGTCTGGTCCAGGCAAGGGCGGGGCGGCGGTGGCGCGCGCCGTGGCCAGCAGGCCCGCCCCGCATGTCCGCCCCGCATGTCCGCCCCGCAGGCCCGCGCACCATGCCCGCCGTCGCGGCGTCCGTCGAGCCGGGACGGGCGTTCGGGCCCCGGCATGCTGTCAAGCGCAATCCGCCACCGGGCGAGCATGGCCGCTATCTCGCGTTACGTGCGCTCACACCTTGCCGCCGCACCTGTCCGGCGAGACACTTCCAGGGCCCTGCAGGGGGGGCACCGGCAACCGCAGAGGCGGGCCCGCGTCGTTCGGCCGGTGCGGCCCGGCCCTCGATCACGCCGGCGGGGCGCCGGCGGTGGACCGGCCGGAACCCTCGGTCGGCGCGCCTGCCGGGCGCCAGCCTCGGCCCCGGCGCCCGCCGGCCGCGCACGGGGAGGCGAAGCGAGCAGGCGATGGAAATCTCTGGCGAATTGCCGGGAGCCCCGCTGTCTTCGGAAACCGCAGGGATCGGGAGGAGATGCAAATGCCGACGGCCATGACCGACTGCGAGCGGAGGGCCACGGACCTGATCTGCATCGCCAAGGCTCTGGTCTTCGCTTACGGCAGCCGGCGGCCCGACCCGGCGGCGGAGCCGCCCGGCTGCGCGGCGGGGGCCACTGAGGCGGGCGGCGCCGAGGCCGGTGAGCGCCTGCGGCGGGTTGCGGCCCTGACCGCCTACTTCGCCGAGTGGTCGGCCGCGGGCCGCCTGCATTAGCAGCCGCCTGCGCTAGCATTGGAGCCGCCCGTGGCCGGGGCCCCGCCGGGTCGAGTCCCGCGCGCCCTGCGGCCGGCGGGTTTGTCTCCGCCGGCTTGCCGCTCGGCCGGAGTTCGAGACCAGCCGCGCCTCGGAGTCTCGGTCGAGAGGGCCCGGAGAGCGCCGAAATCCGTGTGGCACGAGCGGAGGGGTCTCTGTTCGCCTGTGACGATACATTTCGATGAGAAAAGTTCATTCAGAGGTGAATTTTTCTCGTGACGCTCGGGGGGCTTTGGGATACCTATCAAATACGACAGGGAAGCGCTGCCAGAGGCCATGCCAATGCCCGATTTCAAAAGGGTCGCCGAGGCCGTGATCGAAAGCGGTCTGTCACGCGCGCATATCTACCGCTTGATGGATCAGGGAAAGATCCCGTCTCAAACCGAAGGCCGTGTGCGCACGGTGGATGTCGACGCGCTCAAACGCTTTGTCGCCGAGGCGACCGCGAAGCCGCGGCGCGGGCGCCGGCCGGGGTCCGGCAAGGCGGCGCGGGAGGGGCAGCGC